CCTGCTGAGCAAGGAGCCCAATGTGGGACTCGATCCCAGGATGCTGGGATCATGACCTGAGCTGAAGGTAGATGCTTAACCAACTGAGCCACCCAGGCATCCCTTTTTCTTTTTCTTTAAAGGGTTGATTGTCCTAGATGCACAGGATACTCTTAAATATGTAGTTTCAAGCTGTCTTTTATTTTAGGAGAGTTCTCTTGAGTTACTATTTTTTGTATTCTATAGTATTGCTTTGGTTTTCTTCTTTAGGGGCTGCCTTTATAGGTATATCTTTGTTAATTTCTATCACTTTTTAAGAAATGCACTTTATGTCTTTTTTAAAAATAACTGTTATTGAGATATAATTCATACACTATAAAATTCACCCTTTTAAAGTATACAGTTCTTAGATTCACAGAGATATGCACTATCATCACTGTCTAATTTTAGAACATTTTTGAATTTCAGAAAGAAACCTTAAATCCATTAGCAGTCACTCCTCCTTTCCCTCCACCCAGCTCCTGGAAATGACCTACTTTCTGTTTCTATGGAACTTCCTGTTATAGACATTTCATGGCATCACAAAATGTGCCTGGCTTCTTTCACTTCGCATATTTTCAAGGTTCATCCATGTGTGGCATTTATCAGTATTTCATTCCTTTTATGGCCAAATACTATCCCATTATATGGATATACCACTTTTTGTTTATCCATTCATTAGTTAATGAATGTTTAGGTTTCCCCTTTTGGGTTGTTGTGAATAATGCTGCTGTGAACACTCATGTACATTTTTGTTGTGTATATATGTTTTCATTTCTCTTGGGTATATACCTAGGAGTGGAATTGTTGGGTCATATGTTAACTCTAATTAGCATTTGAGTAACAAACTGTTTTTCAACACAGCTGCACTAATTTACATTTCCGTCAGCATGTATGAGGGTTCTGATTTCTCACCTCCTCACCAACACTTGCTATTATCTGTCCTTTTTATTATAGACATCCTAGTGTGTGAAATGATCTCTCCTTGTGATTTCAGTTTGCATTTCCCTGATGGATAATGATGTTGAATATCTTGTCAAATGATTATTTGCTGTTTGTAGATCTCCTTTAGAGAAATGTTTGTTCAAATTCTTTGCCCAATTTTTTGATTGGCTTATTTTCCTTTCCAGATATTTTCTTCCATTGTATATGTTGTCTTTTCACTTTCTTGAAGGTATTGTTTGAAGCACAAGAGTATTTAATTTTGATATGGCCCAAATTATTGACTTTTTCTTTTGTTGCTTGTGCTTTGGGTTTCATATCTAAGAAACCATTGGCAAATCCTAGCTCACAACAACTTACTCCTATGCTTCCTCCTAAGAGTTATAGTTTTACCTCTTTAGTTTTGTGATACATTTTGAGTTTTCTTTTTTTAAGTTTGTATTTTAATCCCAGTTAGTTAGCATACAGTGTTATATTAGTTAACATACCGTGTTATATTAGTTTCAGGTGTATGATATAGTGAATCAGCAATTCCATACACCACCTGGTGCTCATCACAATTGCACTCCTTAATCCCCATCACCTGTTTAACCCATCCCCCCCATGTACCTTTCCTATAGTAACCATTAGTTTGTTTTCTATAGTTAAGAGTCTGTTTCTTGGTTTGTCTCTTTTTTTTCCCTTTGTTTCTTAAATTCCACATATGAGTGAAATCATATGGTATTTGTCTTTTTCTGACTCACTGATTTTGCTTAGTATTTTATTCTCTAACTCCACCCATGTCATTGCAAATGGTAAGATTTCATTCTTTTTTATGGCTGAATAATATTTGTGTGTGTGTGTGTGTGTGTGTCTATCCATTAATTGATGGACACTTGAGCTGCTTCCATATTTTGGCTATTGTAAATAAGCTGCTATAAACATAGGGGTGCATATATCTCTTTAAATTCGTGTTTTTGTATTCTTTGGGAAAATACCAGTAGTGTCATTGCTGGGTCATAGGGTTACCTCTGTTTTTAACTTTTTGAAGAAACTTCATACTGTTTTCCACAGTGGCTGTGCCAGTTTGCATTCCTGCCAACGGTGCAAGAGGTTTCCTTTTTCTCCACATCCTCGCCAACACCTGTTTCTTGTGTTGTTGATTTTAGCCATTCTGACAGGTGTGAGGTAATATCTCATTGTTTTGGGGTTTTTTTTTTTAAGATTTTATTCATTGATTTGAGAGAGCACAAGCGGAGGGAGGGGCGCATAAGCAGACTCTCCACTGAGTGAGGAGCCCAATGCGGGGCTCAATCCAGGATCCTGAGATCATGATCCAAGCTGAAGTCAACCGCCTAACCGACTGAGCCACCCAGGTGGCCCTCGTTGTAGTTTTGATTATTTCCTTGATGATAAGTCATGATGAGCATCTTTTCATGTGTCTGTTGGCCATATGGACATCTTCTTTGGAGAAATGTCTGTTCATGTTTTCTGCATTTTTAAATTGGATTATTTGCTTTTTGGTGTTGAGTTGTATAAGTTCTTTATATATTTTGGATACTAAACATTTATCACATATGTCATTTGCAAATATCTTCTCCCATTCCATAGATGGCCTTTTTTTTTTTTAAGATTTAATTTATTTTTTGACAGAGAGAGACAGCGAGAGAGGGAACACAAGCAGGGGGAGTGGGAGAGGGAGAAGCAGGCTTCCTGCTGAGCAAGGAGCCCGATGTGGGGCTTGATCCCAGGACCCTGGGATCATGACCTGAGCCGAAGGCAGACGCTTAACGACTGAGCAACCCAGGCACCCCATCCATAAATTGCCTTTTACTTTTGTTGATTGTTTTTTTCACTGTGAAGATTTTTATTTTGATGTAGTCCCAATAGTTTATTTTTGCTTTTGTTTCCCTTGCCTCAGGAGACATATCTAGAAAAAAAGTTGCTACAGCTGATGTCAGAGAAGTTACTGCCTGTGCTCTCTTCTAGAATTTTTATGGTTTCAGGTCTCACATTTAGGTCTTTAATCCACTCTAATTTATTTTTGTGTATGGTGTGAGAAGGTGGTCCAGTTTCATTCTTTTGCACGTATCTGACCAGTTTTCCCAGTGCCATTTGTTGAAGAGACTTTTTCCCATTGGATATTCTTTCTTGGTATGTTGCAGACTAATTGGCCGTATAATCGTGGGTTTATTTTGGGTCTTCTGTTTTTGTTCCATTTATCTGTGTGTCTGTTTTTGTGCCAGTATCATACTGTTTTGGTGACTACAGCTTTGTAATATAACTTGGAGTCTGGAATGGTGATACCTCCAGCTTTGCTTTTCTTTTTCAAAATATCTTTGGGTATTTGGGGTCTTTTGTGGTTCCATATAAATTTTACAGTTGTTTGTTCTAGTTCTGTGAAAAGTGCTGTATTTTGATAGGGATTGCACTGAATGTGTGTAGGTTACTTTGGTTCAAATTACAGACATTTTAACAATATTTGTTCTTCCAATTCATGAGCATGGAATGTCTTTCCATTTCTTTGTCATCTTCAGTTTCTTTCATCAGTGTTTTATAGTGTTTTGGGGGTACAGGTCTTTCACCTCTTTGGTTAAGTTTATTCCTAGGTATCTTACTATTTTGGGTGCAATTGTAAATGGGATTGCTTTCTTAATTTCTCTTTGTGCTGCTTCATTATTGTTGTATAGAAATACAACGGATTTCTGTACATTGATTTTGTATCCTGTGAATTTACTGAATTTGTTTATCACTTCTTGCAGTTTTTTGGTGGTCTTTCAGGTTTTCTATATACAGTATCATGTCATCTGCCAAATAGTGGAAGTTTTACTTCTTCCTTACCGATTTGGATGCCTGTTATTTCTCTTTGTTGTCTGATTGCTGTGGCTAGGACTTCCAGTACCTTTTGAGGTACTTTTTGTGTTATGGTTTGAGGAAGGAGGGGTTCATCCTCATTCTTGTGCTTGTGCAAATCCATCTTGTCTACCATTCTTTTCCCATTTAACTGTCATGACACCATTATTGAAGATCTGCCACAGTAACTTTGTGTGGGATTTGACCAAGATACTTTTTTGTTGCTTATTGTCTTCTAGTGAAATGAGTTTTTCTCTACTTTTAGAAGGGTGGGAATGGGCATAGGATAGTTTTTCTAGTTTCATATTCTAGGCTAAAGCTCTCCCTTCTGTGTTTTTTGCAAAGTTAATATTTATCTCTCTCCAACTTGTACTTTCCGAGACGTGTCTTTTCTGCTTTTTTCCACCAGTTTTGTTGGAGCCTTCTCTTTCCCTTTGTCCCTGCTGTGCTCTCTGCTACAACTTTGATTCTACTCCCAGCAGTTTCTCTTCGGTGAGACTTTGTCTTGAAAGGGAGCTTTGGTTTGTTAATTTTGAGAGTTTATAGAACTCAGACTGCACCATTAGACCTTATTTATATCACATTGGAGTCTGCTTGCACTTATTTATAAATAGAATTGCACAGAACTCTCTCCTAGTTTCTGCTGCTGTCCTCAGACTCAGTGTGTTCCCTGACACTGTCCAGTGAGTATCTGCTGTCAGCGATGAGGCTCTTCTGTTCTGTTCTCTGGCTGTCAGAAGCCCCAGCCCTTTCCACACTTCTTCCTGCACAGATGTTTGTACCATGTAGGTCTTGTTATTGGCAGAAGTTTGTTTCTACTCACATTTGGAGCTTTGTCACCTGATTTTGTTGTACATATTGTCTTTGAATCTTTGGTTTTGCTATCTCATTGCTTTGTTTGAGTTTATGGGTAGAGTTAGAGGAATTCAAAAAGTGAACTGCCATTGCTGTCATTCTTCCAGCATCTTCTCATGGAGAGATGTTTTTGAAGCACATTCTTTTCCTTATTTAAAACAGTATGGTGTCTGCAAGTTAAAAACAAACTGTAATCCAATAGTTGATTCTTAGTTTATAACTCCAGGTAATTCTGTAGTGAAACAAATTAAGAGGAACTTTTTCTAGGCTGAGTTAAATATCAAAATGTTATTCATACCTATTGAATGTGTGTTGTATTTTGACTATGCTAAGAATCAACTTTTCCCTTTCAGAATAACAAGCCTTTGTATTCATTTGAAGATAATTCAGACTATGTTTATGATGTTATGTGGTCACCCACCCACCCAGCCCTGTTTGCTTGTGTGGATGGCATGGGGAGGCTGGATTTGTGGAATCTCAATAATGACACAGAGGTGAGCAGGAAAATAACAAAAATTGCATTGAAAAATAGAAAATTGGAGATTTATTGAATAATTTGTGAAATTCCTTTTATCCCAAGGAACGTGAAAGGGCTCGGTGATTGTAGCTTCATCAAAAAGAAACCAAATAAGCTTTGTACCCTTAATAATAAACAGCATGCATGCTGAAGGGAGAAATAATGTTGCCAAGAGTACTGGGGCATTTCCTTTTACTTCTGAAAAGCACTATCATGTCTGTAATGTCCTGGCAAAGTCTCATTCATAAGGCAGCTGGGATAGTTTTCACTCACAGGCTGCAAAGCAGATAGTTTCAGACTGTTGAAGTATGGTAACCTTAATTCTGAATTTCTAAATTATCTCTTAGCCTTGACAGAATTGTATTATGATCCATAACCATTAGTTTTAGCCTGACTTATTTAAATGAAAGAAAAATGCATTTTGATGACTTGTTTGATGAAGGATTGAAAACAGTATTATTGTTACTATAAAATGAATATAGAAACCACAGAATTTCCTAATTACTATGCTAAAATCACTTATTGGCAATGAAATTTAGCTATTAACTTATTTTTAGGTACGTGCATTTTTACCAACTTAGGCTTAAAATGTTCCTTGAATTCTGTGTTGATATGAGGTGGTAAGAAGTAATGTTTTAGCAGTTCTGTCAGAAACAGTTACTGAGGGGAAAGTCTCTTGGTGCCTTACCCTACATCCCACTCTTTCCCACATTTCTTCATATTTCTGGTGGCAGCCGTCCAAATCCCTCGAAGTAAAATAGTTGGTTATACAGGGCAAGGAAGTTATGTATTAGAAATGTAAGAGTAGTTAAGTGTGCTAACTCCTGGTTTAGTAGTTTGAAGAGGAACATTCAGATACTCCTAGGAAAAGGTATTAAGCCCTGACTAGATGGTTGAGCTTAATTATACTTTTATAGTTACCTAGAATGGTACCAATTGCATTTTTTTAGTTTGGGTTTTGGTGTTTGAGATTTGTGGTTACACTTAAATTTAGATCTTTTCTACAATCCTTAATTCAAAGAATATGTCTAAATTACAGTTTTTCTCTGTAACAGTTTTGGCATTCTAGGAGTTAAATTAATCATCTGGGGATGACTAGTGTCAATTAAAAGGATTATTTTTAATCAGGTTTCAAAAATTTTATTGTGCTTCCAGTTTGAGTCAAACATTGGATGTTTGCTCTGTGTGTGGCAAATAAATCTCTTTTTCTTCAGCATAAGAGAAGTACAATCAGATGCCGGGGAGGTGGTGCCATTGTCTTGGTGCTATCATCCTACTCTGTTCTACAGTTTATGGGAACAAGAGCTTTGGAAAAACCCATACTGCACCTTCAGTATGAACTGTTTCTAGGAACTGTGGATCAAATCACAGGTTTCAGCTGACAGAGTCACAAGCTACAAAAGTAATTTCTGTCCTCTAAAAATGAACCATAATCTGTTTATGAGGGCTTTTGAAATGTTTCTTTAAAATGGGGTTTTGGCCATCTGTTTTCAAACAGCTTGATTTCTTAAAAAAGTTAAAATAACAACAAAGAATCCTTTATTAAAGAGAAGATCTTTTAAAATGATGTATGTATCCAGTCATGTGAGAATTTTCTTATATAAGAACTTAAGTTATTTTCCCAAACCATTTTCAAGGACTGACTGTAATGTCATTCATAATGTATCACTGAACAGGAAGAAAGTTGGGAAAATTCTTTATCTATTTTCATCTTTGTTTTAAAAAACGTAGCCTGATTGGAGGAAAGAAGAGTTACTGTTTTACATGTTTATAGAAATCAAACTTTTAACACTGCACTATATTTTAAATGACTTCAGGTGCCAACTGCCAGCATTTCTGTGGAGGGGAATCCTGCTCTTAATCGTGTAAGATGGACCCATTCTGGAAGAGAGATTGCTGTGGGTGACTCTGAAGGACAGATTGTCATATATGACGTGGGAGAGGTATGGGGCTCACTGCCTATAATTTTGATACATCTTTTTAGCTTTCAGCGCATTGTAATTACGGTATCTTTGTGGTTGAAACTAGTCTTTTGAGGTTCATGAGTGGTATAAACCATATGGTTGTAAAGATAAAACTTTTTCCACGACAGAAGCAACTCTTAAGATTAATTTTCTTTCTAAACTGGATGTTCTGTGTCCCCATGCAACAGATTTTGAGGGTAATATCATACATTGGAAGTACCTTATTTCTTGAGGCATAAATTACTAGAAATTAGAAACTCTTCAGGAAGAAGAAATTTGGAGTTACAGTTGAGTTATAGACTTTGTGTTATGGACTTCAGGGCTTTACAGATTTAAGTTCTTATTTTTCTGTATTTGTAGACTTGTTTGGGCCAGGTAGTAGAAATCAAAAGTAGTATTTTTGAGAGTTATTTGATGACTGTGTGAAATGTGAATCTTGACTTGTGAACCTTGTTGCAAAGCCATTATCATTGAATCCAGCAGGATAAGTTGCATCGCTGTGTCATCTTTTGTACTTGGGTTGGCTGTACACAATGTTCAGGAGCGATTTCCTTCTTTTTAGCCCTAGCTAAAAGAAGCCTTAGTCACTGTTTCTTTTGCTATGCCTTATGAGTCCCCATCCCCTCTGGACACGCTATGGCCTCTAGTAATTGGATCTGGAGGGAGGTAGATTGAATTATTTAGAATAGCCAATTGAACAGTCCATGCAGATGGAATTGCTCTGTATCTGCACTAATCGAGTAGTCACTAGCCACATATGGCTATCAAACACTTAAAATGTGGCTAGCGGGGCGCCTGGGTGGCTCAGTTGTTAAGCGTCTGCCTTCAGCTCAGGTCATGATCTCAGGGTCCTGGGATCGAGCCCCACATCAGGCTCCCTGCTCCATGGGAAGCCTGCTTCTCCCTCTCCCACTCCCCCTACTTGTGTTCCCCCTCTCGCTGTCTCTCTTGTCAAATAAATAAAATCTTTCAAAAAAAATGTGGCTAGCACAACGAAGGAACTAAAGTTATATTTTATTTCATTTTAAGTAACTTAAATGTGAATAGTCACCTGTGTCTGGTAGCTATTGGATATCACTATCCAATCTAATCTAATATGGTAGATTAAGAAGTAGGCACATTCATTTGCTATACTGAGTGGTTTGTGCCCTACTATGGCAGTGTCGAGATTTCACCAATATCGTGATGACAATTATCAAAAATTTTTGGTCATTGGATGCTTCATGGAGGCAAAAGCATCATGAGCCTCTTTTCCCCTTTAGCTATTTGTAGATCACTAAAGTGGTAAGAGATAATGTACCTTCTGATGAAGGGATTAAGATATCAAAAACAGTTATGCTCCAAACAAAAATAAATACTCCTAAGAAACCAGCTCTTTGAAGCATGCTTCAAAAACTATTTCATATTTGGAACAGTGCAAGAAGTAAAAAATTTTAAGGAATTCCTCCCCACCAGCAAAATCTGTGAGATAGTACATAGGAATTATATTTACAGAGTATCATTGTTATTCTCTCTTGTACTGATGGTGATAACAGCAAAAGCATTTCTGAGGCTGTCACAACACACTTCCCAAACATCATCTCTTGTTTTGAAATGTGTTGTAAAGCATTGTTATAGTCCCTGTAATTATGGAAAGACCATTTACATCAATTACTACTTTTTAATGGAAAAATTATTTGAAAACAAACTGAAATACTGGGTAAGATAATCATTTATTTCAGTGTACATAAAACGTTGTCTTTCTTTTAACAGCAGATTGCTGTCCCCAGAAATGATGAATGGGCACGGTTTGGCCGAACACTCGCAGAAATTAATGCAAACCGAGCTGATGCAGAGGAGGAAGCAGCTACCCGAATACCTGCTTAGCTCCTGAGAGGGGGATATTGTAGCCTTAGCGGATTTGGGGAAGTCTCTAAGTAGAACCTAAGACTATTTGCATGTTTCTGTCTAAATGTTAATTAAAAGGAAATTTTGTGGATTTAACCATGGATTTAATGCAGCAAGTAAATCTTACAATGTCCCTTTTTATATAACATGCATCTTGTTCTGGATTTGTGTCATTTTTAATACAGCTGATTGACTTTACAGATTGCAGCCTTTTCTGAATTCTTATACACAGGTGTATATTTGGTATTAGTTATTCTTTTGAATTCTTTTCAACTTATAACACTATATAAGTTATTTCTAAAGTACAGATTAAATCAGTTCTGCATATTTTTAAATAGTCACAATTCCCTGTTATACTGATACTGTCCTCACTAACCATAACATGTGAGAACATTGTTTATTCTTAGCCATAGCATGCATACATCTACCCAAGCTCCATTCTAATATCCTTTTTCTTCTTTATAATTCATGTGATAACTGTCTATAAATAAAAACAAATATGCTTTAACTTTTCAGATTTTCATTTTGATTTAGCCTTGCAATTTTAATTTTCCCATCCCTTTTATAAAGTGTCTTTTTTTCCATATCTTTCTTTAAGCTCTTGTTGTAAGCAGCCACCTCAAGTCTCATGAAGTTTTGTGTCTTAAATATGCCATACATTTAATGTAGATCTCTTGATGAATTATGGACTGATGTTTAACCTCTCAGTGAAAAAATGTCTCCTAAGTTAACTTTTGCTTTACTCCCGTATTTACATTCCATCTGAGATGTAGTTCATCTAAAGAATAAACAGAAAGCTGCCTATTATTTTCATTGATTGAGATTATTATGTATGTGAGCTCTCTGAGACTGAAACCTCCTGTGAGAGAAATTGATTTCATGGTTGCAATAGTAGCTATGAAGGAAAAGTGTTCAAATGAACTTTATCATTGAATCAACTCCACATCTTGAGATCTGTTACCATACAAACTTGTATAAGCAAGTCTGAAAGGTGAGTGACAAATATCTAAGCATGAATGTTGAAATCAACCTATTTCAGAATTAGAGGAAAGCATTATGATCAGATCTGTATTTTATCCACTTTAAATTGTCCATTTCCTTGATCCTAACCTCTTATCCTTCTAAAGTTTAACTATTCAACAGAACATGAACTAGGAAGGAAGAATAGATATCAGAATCTGAACATTTTTGTTGTTTTACAATTCTAACAAAGATCTGTTGGAAGATAAATTTCCAAATAATAAAATTTCTAAACTATATGAGTATTGTGTAATGTAAAAATAATCACCTAGGAATATTAGACCCAACTCTAGTTCTAGCTCTGGCACTCATGAGAAGTGTGATTTTAGCCAAGTCTTTCCATCTGTTTGTGCCTCATTCTTTTCATCTAGGAATTAAGTTTGGATTAGATGATTGTTAAATTTCCTTCCAGCTCTAAAATTATTGATTGTAATTACTTCAGGCAATTCTCCGTTTTTATGTATTCAGTTTTCACAAATTAGCACCCCATAATTGCCTATTATATATCAAAGATAAGTTTTTTATATTAGTAGGCAAACATCTCAAGTTAGTTCATGGTAGCAATGTCTATGAGTCAGAAGTTTGATTTCAGCGGTCACACTGTCTTTGTTTTTTTTTTTGTTTTAAGATTGTATTTATGTGAGAGAGAGAGCACACACACAGGGAGAGGGAGAGAGAGAAGCAGACTCCCACTGAGCAGGGAGCCCGATGAGGGGCTCTATCCCAGGACCCCGGGATCATGACCTGAGCCGAAGTCAGACACTTAAACAACTGAGCCACCAGGTACCCCCTGGTTATTACGTTTTGCCATCAGTTTGTAAAAAGGATTAGGAAAAGGGAAAACATCATTATAACTAAGGTTCAAATCAAGAGATGTGACAAATCAGATGCTCATTGGACTAAAATTGATGTGTTCAATTGTGAAAGAATAAAATTGGTAAGTAAAATACTTAGCACCAGAATTTTTGTTTTTGAGGAATAACTTCTCTCCCTCCCCACCCCAGCCCCCAAATGCAATGTGGACCTTTGCCCATATAACTTAGTCTACATTTTTAAGAACACATAAATTTAATGTGAGTAACTGCTCTTTAAGGTTGAGTATATGATAGGGCAAAAAGGAAGAACTAAGACTGTCAATATTGATGTAAAATCTTCTGACAAGTCAAGCTGACTAGAAAAGTGAGGCATAGCTCTTTACACTTTTACAAATGAAAACCTTAAAACTTTCAAAAATATCAAGTTATGGAAATTGTACCTTATTCATTACCAGTTATACTTTTTTGCTGAATGGGAAACAAGCCATAGCTTTCAGGCTAATTTCTTATTTTGTTTATTGTTTGGTTATTATCTTTTGAACGAGAAATTAAAGATTATTGGTTATTCTTGTTTGTGTTGAGGAAGAATACTCAGTTTAATTAGCTTACACTAAGTCTCAGAAATAATTTTTGGTATAATTAAGGCAAAAAAAAAACCCACAAAAATTCATTGGTAGAGTCTATCTTCATGCTTATAGATTCAATTCCCTACAAAGTTTAGAAAATCTTTAGATATAAAATATTGTTGCAGTAATGCTGACATACTGCATCTTGAAGGAACAGATGACTTAAAATTTAGGGGTGAAGGAACTAAAGGAAAGTAGTATTAGGAGTGATCCTAGTCTTGCAATATTCTAAGAATGCTGATTTCATTCTCTTTTGTACTAGTACTGAATAAACTGTTAGACTGTAACCTCTTCCTCTTGAACCATGTGGAAAGGAAGGGCTTGAATGAATGAAAGAAAATCTGATATGAAGCATGTGATTTTTCATCATCCCATTCTATTGGGCAATGCCTTTTTAAATCTTTTCCACAATCTTGGTATTTCAACATTGGCACTGTGATATTTTCTAAATAGGAAAAGCTCTACAATTAGGTATATATTGGAGAGGATGGATCTCCTGTTACAGCTCCAGCTGCTCGACGGTTGTGAGAACTGAGTTGTTTGAAACATGACATAGCATCCAAGGTGGTAGTGGCATTAGTGTCATGTCTGAATCTTGGGCGTAAGTCTAGGGTAAAAAGCCATTGGCTTTGCCTCATTTGATAATTTAGTGATGAGATTCCCACTCAGATTTTTTTTTTCCAATCTACATAGAAACAGGAAAAGAGTTCTTGCTTTCCTGCTATCATCTTGCTGATTGATAGGCAAATAAGGCCTTACAGGTTTGGGAAAAAGACCTGGGGCTCTTCTTTTTGACTCATTTAAAGTACTGGGAGATTATTTAGTTAAAGACCTGGTTTACAGATTCTGGGGGCTTCTAGTGCTATCAAAGAATTTGAAAGTTGCCCCAAAGATAAGAATAAAAGAACACCTATGTTCAGTATGTCTTTTGAATTCAGGGATTACAATTAAGAACATTAACCAATCTCTTTAATCTTACTGCCCCAAAAGGTACTAATTTGCTTATACTTAATATGTTGTATTTTTAAAATCCTTTTCACATATAACAAACACATTTTTTTAAAAAGACGCTACAATCCTAACTCAGAATGCCAACTGGAAGACCTTGAATAGTCATCACATTGCAATGCTTTTCTCAATAGGCCAATGCTCCTGGATCTTTTGTTGGACTTTAGGTGTACGGATTCGTTCTGCCTGCCATATTTGCAATTCCCCAACTTCTTAAAGTTCAAATGGATTTTAGGTTTTTAAGTTTTCAGTATGTAGTTTCTAACCATTGATAGTTTCAACATAGCCAATCAGCCATCTTTTACAAACTTTCCTAAAATTACAGTATTTTGTGTTGTTAGTTTCATAGCGGGAATCTCAGTTTTGGCTTCTTAATATTCCATTACCAGTTCCCAGTCAGAGGATGGAACAGCTTGCACTCAGGTAAGCTTTCAGAAAGGTCTGTTTCACTTTGTGAGGTCATTTATTCAGGTCTCTGGTAATGTATTATCATGCCTGTCTTTTAATGTACTTGATTTGGTCAGAAAGCTGTGGGGCAGTGATTGTGTAGGGTGTAGAACACACCTACGTGGTGCTGAGCATGCAGAGACCTGCCTCTGGTGACTTCAGAAATCAGGTATACCACCGGTAAGGCTTTGATGGCAAGTAATTTTATCTTTTGTGAATTTTTGTACTAGATTTTTTAAAAAAGTTTTTTTCTGAACAAAGTAATAGAAATGCTTTGGAACAAAATCTCCTACGCTGAAGTGTGGCTGGTATATGAGAAAGAGAACACTGGGCTCAAAAGACCCAAAATCTATTCCTGATACCACCATTACCAGTAATGTCACCTGGGACAAGGGTCAATATGCTCATTAAGTGAGGAAAATATCCACTTTCTGTGAAGATTATAGGAGATATGGTGTATGTGAAAATTTGTAAATTATAAAGTACCACACAAATAAGGGATTGTATTAATTTTTTTTTTAAGAATACAAAAATGGAGAGACCATGTTGTGTAGCCATCTGTGCAATGTAATAAGAGCACATCTTCTAAGGATTTAAGTGGCTTGGTGTTCAAGAAAATATTACTTTAATTCTGAGACATCACAGCATAATTTAACCCTCAGATGTTTAGGAGTGGCAGTGAACTGAGGGATATAAATTGCCCTTAATCAGTGATACTTTTCCTAGGAATGTTTTATTACATTCTATGATAAAATTACAAATTATGAAAATAGAAAAAAAATGACCCACTCTGAATTTCCAGCCTATACTCAGCTGTTGCTCTTATGTTACTTACATATAACATGGGTTGTGATATCTAGAGACTTAGAAAAGAACACGTGAAACCCCTTTTTCAAGTTAGTGAGAAAACAAACTTGGTTCATGACTACCCAGCTAGATGTTAGCAGAACTGGAATTCATCACTTCCACAAAAATCTGGGGAACAGCATTATTCAGCTGTTGTAACTCACATAGTACCATTCCTTCTTCCCTAAGGTTAGGCCCCTTGAAAATAACTTATGCTCCCTGTAGGAAGATGATCACTAGAAGGGGGAGTTTCAGTCCTGATGACCTGACCTGTGTGTGGCTGTTAGGCTTAGGGGAAGCCCTAAGATTAGTCCTGCAGGAATAGCTTTTATCTAACTTACATCTGGATTGGCAGATCTCTGCTGTCTTGTGTCCAAAATGTGATTTTGAAATAAGTCAAAACCTGACTTATTAATGAATGCCAGTTGAGCAAGAAACATGGTAAAATGACTAGGTCCTTCCTAAGGGGCCTCATTTCCAATAATGTTTTTGATTCAGTCATGAATCTCTCAGTACATTGAGGGTCATTAGATGGCTTTGGAGGACCTTTAGTTTTCCAAAGGCAAGAGAAATGGCCTTACGCCTCCTGAAACTCAGGGACTACTTGAGTAGAATTGGTATCAATTGAGAAAGAGGACTTTTATATTTTGTGTTGAAAATCAGACAAGGAGAACAGTGTGATTCATAGAAGACTGCCCTGGGTTTTCTTGTTCCTCATCTCTCTAAACCTTCATCCTCACGATTGTAAAATGAATGCTGCAGTGGTAATAGTGTAACAAGAGAATAACTGGAATAATACCTCCACATAGATCCAAAGCCCAAAGAAGGCTATATCTGACTATCAGGATGTCGCACCTTAGTTGGAATTCTATCAACTGATAGGAAATAATTGACTACTAAATTCTAATGTTTGGTTGGGAAACTCCTTCAAAACATGGTGGTCCTGAGATTTGTATTTCTAATATAGAGTCTTGGACTTAGAATCAACCTGTATTGAAACTCAGTTAACCATAACTTTGAGCAAATGGTTTCACCTCTCTAAGCTTATTTCCTCATCTACTGCTTCACAGGGCTGTTATGGAATTAAACCAGAATCTGTGTGGAAAACGAAGAATTATACAAATATGAGGCATTGCTATTATGGGAGGTGATGAGTAAGTAACTGTTAACAGGTTCAATAACTGCTCTTCAGTAGCTCTTACAAGTTTATGGGCTCTTGGCTGTTAGAGGCTAAAAACAAGCACTTAGAAATCCGAGATCTCTGCTTTACCGCACATGGCTTTCTGGCTTGACCACTTAGGATTCCCTTCTTTTTTTCCCCTCCTGCTTCCTCTATTGACAGAGACCACAAAACCAGTAGGAAGTAAGTTTCAAAGAAATGGAATTGGGAAGGTGACTTTCAAAGATCTCGCATCAGCACTTCATCCTTAATGGAAATATGTATCTCTTGTTTCCAAAGTTTCCTCTGCCTTATAAAGAACTGGCCTTTGTACATTCTGTCCATGTAGTATTAATAACTGGTAGCATTTGAGTACTTGCTAAATGATTATATATGACACACATATTCTTATTTTTTCTAGCTTCCCTATAATGTGGGAACTATTATAAAGGATTACTAATTATAACTATTATAAAGGATTACTAATTTACAAAAGCGGAAACTAATTTGAACCAATTTCTGTGGATCAGATTTGTAGCCAGTTTCCCCTCCCACAGGGCCAATAGCAAACTACCAATGTGATGTCACTGAACATGGAATTGGGAATATACACATATACTGGGCTCTCATTCAGCTGGTACAAGCCGGGTCCAGCATATCACTAGGCCTGGGGACATTAAGTGACTCTCAAAGCACTAAACCAAGGC